TTCAACTGCTAAGAGCTAATCATTTTGGTAACTTCCTAACAGTTTCCAATTTTTTTCAAACAACTGACTGGAAATCTTTTGTCACTATAACACCAAGTATACAAGAAACCATAGCTACTGTGAAAGAAGAGAGTGTTCGACAATCCACCTTCATTATAGCCTTGTCATTTTTCTGTTGAGTTACAACTGTATACAGTAGATTACGAAAGGTGGTTTCTAAAAGTTGTGAAATACTTAGCATTCGCCAAAGCATGAGTGTTTTGTTGCAGACTTCAAGAGGAGATATTGTTGTTGACCTTTTCACAGACCTCGCACCTTTAACTTGTAAAAATTTTCTCAAACTTTGCAAGATCAAATATTATCACCTCTGTACTTTTCATTATGTTGACAAGGTGAGCTTGTAGTTGAAACTGTCTTTTTAGAAGTTTTATGGTTGATCCTTTTGAATTTAGGGTTTTGTTATACAAACAGGTGACCCGACAAATACAGGTAAAGGAGGTGAAAGCATATATGGAATTTGTTTTGGAGAACAAGCACGATACTTTGAAGACGAGTTCACTCCCAAGCTTCGGTACTTTATTATTTATGTAAGATTTTAAAAGTGCTAAAACACGAGTTTTTCACTGATAGACATAATCGCAAAGGACGAGTTTCTATGGCTAATGCCGGTCAGCCAAATACTAATGGCAGTCAGTTTTTTATTACTCTTAGTGATCAGTTGGACTACTTGGATGACAAATATACCATTTTTGGTCAAGTAGAAGAGGTATTTATTCCTATTCATTTGCGTATTCAAGTTGTTTATATTATTTTCTATAGGGTTGGGAAACAGTTGAAGCAATAGAATCGGTCCTTGTTGACGAAAAGAAGAAACCTTTTCAAGTTAGTCGCATCTATCATACGATTATATTGGACGACCCTTTTCCTGATCCACCAGGTATGCCACCCATACCTTCTTCTCCTGAACGAGATGGAAACCAAAATGTCGTGTCCTCTGAAGTACGACTAGGTAAGTTTCTGTAGAAGAAGAAAAGTGATTGTAATTCGAAAGTAAATCTTCAGATGATGATGAAATCTGGCAAGAAGAGGAAGGAATGGATAGTGAAGAGAGAGAAAAGTTGAGACGTAGAAAAGAGGCACATTCTCGTGCAGAGGTTTTAGAGATCATTGGAGATATTCCTGATGCAGAAGTTAAACCACCGGATAATGTAAGAGAGAAAATTGTGCAAGATGGACCAGTCTAATGACTTTTATTCTATGTAGACATTATTTGTTTGCAAGTTGAATCCTGTGACTCGTTCCGAAGATTTGGAACTTATTTTTTCTCGGTTTGGTGAATGCAAGGTTTGTTATGAATTGGTAGACTATGTGTAGAAAGTAGTGAAATTGGTTGTAAGGCTGAGATAATTAAAGACAAAGTTACTGGCGAGTCCCTATGTTATGGATTTATAGAGTTTCCTGACCGTAAAGCTTGTGAACAGGCATTTTTTAAAATGAACAATTGTTTGATTGATGATCGAAGGATAAGAGTAGGAATATACTGGTTTAACTATTTTTTTGCTAAAATTTGTTGATTGTTGTTCAGGTAGATTTTTCACAAAGTGTTGCCAAGTTGTGGAATCGTGTTCGTCAAGGCCATTGTATTCGTTTAGACGAGGACGAATCGCTTCAAAGTATGTGTTGTTTATTCGGTTGATAATGAAACTGATGTGAATTGATAATAATAATCATCTTTCCTAATAGGTCACGGAAAACGATCCTATCACAATGAATATGTATTCGATGACTTGGAAGAGAAAGCCTTGTTTCAAGAGCATCGTAGAAGCTCTTACTCCAAAACTTCAAAAAGGTACAAATAACTAACAAATGACGAAAGAACAAGTTGTTCTGATACCAATGCGTCGTGGATTCTTTTTGAGAACAAAATGTTATTTGTAAATATAACAGACAATGTGACTACCATTTTTGCACAATATTCTTTATAACTTTATTGGATATTCAAAATTCCAGTTTCTTAGGTATTTCCCAAGTAAACGTCGATTCTACTTTGGGATCTCTGCCAAAGTGGCCATAAGCTGCAGTCTGCTTATAGATAGGCCTTAACAAATTCAAATCTTTTATGATACGACCAGGACGAAGATCTTATGGTACAAAACATGATTATGATCAATCTTAAAGTAAAACGCAAAACTTACCAAAGTTCTTCTTGACTATTTCCAAGATTTCTTGATCTGGCTTGGTTCCCGTTCCATAAGTATCCACAAAGACGGAGAGTGGTGAGGCGATTCCAATAGAATAAGATAGCTGAACCAAACAACGACGTGCAAGTCCTGCAGCAACAATAGACTTGGCAACCCATCTCGCAGCATAAGCGGCTGAGCGGTCGACCTTTGTAGGATCTTTTCCAGAAAAAGCGCCACCACCATGAGCACCCCAACCACCGTAAGTATCAATAATA